ATGAAATTGAACTAGCTTGTTTGATGGGTGAACTGATCGTATGTTTGGTCCAAAATAATAGCTAAATTTGGATAATATCAAATCAGTTAGTTACTCAGTCGATCTAGTGTTAATTGGTAAATGCGATGGATAATCAATTAGATTTTTCTTTTGATTTTTAATCACATTTATTGTTAACTTTAGTCATTAAAATGTTCTCTGTCGTTACTTTTTAAATCAATATTTTAATATGGAATTGGTAAATTGGAGCTAGCATTAAATACTTTTCCAGACCAAAAGTTGATTAAAAATATATTTCAGAATTGAAATGATATAAAAATATTATAATATTTTTTAAGTATTTGAACTTATTATTTGTACAAGTACTTAAAGAAATGTTGATATGTTTTAATGTCATTTTTTAAAATCCTATTTCACAAATGTTTTTTAATCAATTTTGGGTCTGTAAAGTATATAACATTAGCTTCCATGCACTAATTCCTAAATGAAAATATTAATTTAATTTAAATAGGACTAAAGTATACTTTTAGTCATTTATCATTACACAATGTTTTATTTTGATCTCTTAACTTTAGAAAGTAAACTTTTAGTCCTCTAATCCTACGACTATTAATAAAAAAATGATGATATTGAGCTCTTCAATATTGATAAAATATTACTAAATGCTAACATATTAAGTTTAATTTTCAAAATAATCATGATTGTTACAAAAAATTATCATTTAAGACTAACAATTTTAGGGTTACAGGACTAAAGTATACTTTTTAAGATTAAGGTACTAAATTGAAACCTTACATAAAGCTAAAAGACTAAATATATACTTTATCTTTTAAATAGTATAAAACATAATATCATTTTAGAAATATTTAGGTTACAATCTACTGTTAGTCCTTTAATTTTACAGAGAGTTTTCAATTTGGTCTCTTAACTTTAATATTAGTCTTTAACTCTAAAATTGTTAATAAAAAATGATGACTTTGGGATTTTAAATGTTGATAAAACATTACCAAATGTCAACATATTAATTGTAATTTAAAAAAATCATGATTACTACATAAAATCATCATTTAAGTTAATTATTTTAGGACTGGAGGACTAAATGTATATTTTTTAAAGTTAAAAGAGAATGACTAAATGTATGTGTGTTTTTTAAAGTTAAAAAATTAAATTAAAACTTTATATAAATTAAAAAACCTAATAGTTTAGTCAAACATTTATTAATACATTTAAAACAAATGTCAGGCTGCAAAGTTGCATTTTTATTCCACTCCCTACTATAGAGGCAACCTCAAATTACAAAAAGATTAGGCTGTATTGTAAGAATCAAAATATCAAGAAGCACAATTTCTTTTTTTTTTTTTTTGGCCAAAACAAAGTCCATATTATTGATACTTAAAAAAAGAAATACAACCACTAATAGCCAAAAAGGCCGAAAAAGAAAAACACTCAAAATGACTAACAGAAAAACCTACCACACAAAAACTCACAAAAGAAAAGAAAACCAAAACAAACAAACATAAAGGCGATCAATAGAAAGCCCAATCAGCCAATACCACTTCTATCAAAACTTTGTGCATCAGCAAAATCAGTCGGCTTAGCAGAACTTCTTCTCAACATTGCATCAGTGACCAAGATCCGAGCCAAGGAAGGTGTTGGATTAAAAATCCACCCAATCGGGCACACCTCCTTTCTACAATTTACAGCAACCCAATTTGCTGCCTCATTGCCCTTCCTAGGAGTTAGAGCAATATCAGAAGCACAATTTCGGAACCTATGTTTTTATGCAAAAATAAAATTAAATAAGTTAAGTTTGAGGGCTCATCAAATTCAAGGCATGCCTCTAGATTTTTTTTTCGGGTAACAGTATGCCTCTAGATTTAAAAAGAGAAGGTCATTGACTTCAAGAACTTCAATGCAAATGGTATGGCCTTAGATGTGAGCCCAAACGTTTCTGATCCAATATGAAATAAAGTTATTTGATGATATTTGTCGGAAACTTTTTTTTAAATAAATGACAAAATTTAAATTCATTTGCTAATAGGAAAAATCCCTTAAAAAGATACTTAAATAATTTAAATTTTTATTTGGATTATTAAATTTGTCAAATTTCTAACTAGGTCACATGACTCAGAAAGATTTTAAATTTTATAAAATGATCTTAATACCTCTTTCGTTAAAAACCTAGAAAGATGATGAATTTTTTTTAATCATTTTGGCATTGCGTAAGATTTCTAAATGAGAGAAGCTTGGTATCTACTATTACAAAGTCGAATAATCAATCAATGAGATAAGGATGAATTAGTTTTTATATTAGATCTTTCTCCCTTAATCCTAATAGTTTGATCCTGACAGAAAATTTTTAATTTAAAATTAAAATATATTAACTATGAAATGAAACGTGTTAATTTTTAAGGTTGTATTGTGATAAAATTTTTAAAAAACTTATTATAAATTTTTTATTGAAACAAAAAATTTTAATTTAGAATTCAAATTGTAAAATGGAACATGTTAATTTTCAAGATTAGATGGTGATTAAATTTTATTCAAAGACTATTACAAATGTGTTATGGAGACAAAAAATTATGAATTTAGAATTGAAACATGTTAATTGTGAAATAGAACATGTTAATTGTCGAGGTTGTATTATAATCAAGTTTCATTCAAAGACATATTAGAATTATGTTTTGCAGATATAAAGCTGTTAGTTTATAACTGAAACTTGTCAATTACGTAGTTAAACTTATTTATTTTTAAGATTGTATTATGATAAAGCTTTATTCAAAAATTTATGCAAGCATCTATCATGGAGATAGAAAATTATTAATTTAGAATTAAAACGTGTTAACTATGAAATGAAACATGTTAATTTATAATTCTTCTATTTTAGTTACTAATGAAGGAGGCATTGGAGTCTTTTCATAAAACTTTAAAATACTTCTTTAAGCTATGCGACCTACTTAAAAATTTGACAAATTTAATAACTTAAATAAGAATTCATGTTTTTAAATGTCTTTTGAAAGAATTTTTTCTTGCTTATACCTGGAATCTTCCAATGGAAAAAAAATTCAACACGCTTAACACAACCCTAAAATAACTTACATTTTGAATTAGAAAACTTTTAATTTCTAAATCATAAATAAATAACATGAGTGGAACTAGTCTGTTTGGATTAACTTACCACATGATTAATTTTGCTTAAAATCATATTTGCAAAATTAATTTCCATCAAACTTCATTTTAAGCAACATTGATCCAAACATGCATTAGCTCCTTGTTATAAATTTAGGATAATATCACGAGAAAAAGAGAATTAAAAACTAGAATAATTAGTAAAGCAAGTTGAGATAATAGTTCAAAGATTAGCAGTTCAAATAGAGGTCAATCTAAGAATAGATCAATAATTTAAAATAATAAAATTTAATTAAAATAGATAAGAATACACAGAAGTGTAACATTTAAATAAAAAGGCATTAATTCACAAGTAAATAGAATATTCATATATAAATCACACACAATTAAAAAAAATAGTTAATAAAACACAAATATGATGGACTGTTATTTTATTTTATTTTTTAAAAAATTCAAAAAGATATTATTTTAAACTCAATAATAAAAAATATATAAAATATAACCCCATCAATCGGTTCAAAACACTTAACCAAACTTATTAGAAAACTAGTTCACTAATCTGATATGCCAAATGAAGTTAGGTTTTCATGCCATTAAAAAAGAAAAAAAGATAGAGAGGTTACACGAGCCACACTAAAAAATTGGTCCCACCATTTTTTTTTTTCCAACTCCTAAATAGGAGAGGCACTAAAAAGTTTATTTATTTATTTATTTTTTTTTAAAAAAAACAACATGGTGATGTTACAACATAGAGTTAGGAGGGTGAGTGTTTACAAAAATCACAATGCGTGAATGAAGAAACATCATTTTCAATAAGGGGCAAGCAATGGAGAGCAGCTCCAAACAATAATGTTCGGAACCACTGACCTTTCACTTGTTTCATTGATCATACACCTTTAAAGCCTCCAAATTTAAGGCACTTTAGAAAATTCTGGTCTACACCACATGTTTGTGTCTTTGCCTAATTTGACATAAGAATTTCACATGTAGATTCAATTTCGTCTATCCATTTGCATTCATGTGTTAGAAACTATTGCTAGTCTAGAAATTTTGCCAACAAAAATACATATTTGAATCCACGTTAGGAGAAGTGTTTAGTGCTTCACAGTGACTAAAAAAAGCTTCATGTGCTCAATTAAATAAAATAATGTAATTATGTTTTTAGATTTTTGTAAATTATTTTTTCCTTCTCGTATGTGATTGGATTGCCTTGAGATCTCAACAAACAACAAATCATTCTAATCTAAATAAACAGCGAAGGATTCTCAAGGAAGTACACGTGTGACCAATCCTTGTTTGCCCTTTTCTGAATCCTTTCCTTCCCCTCCATGCATGGAATTCTCCTCCAACTCCAACTCACAGCAAACTTAGAGAGATAATAAAATCAAAACAGAGAAAGGAATTATGGCTTCTGCTTTAGCTCCTTTGATTTTTCTTCACTGCTACTACCCATCCTTCTCTTCAAAATCTGATCTTTTCATCCCATACCCACCAAATTTCTCAGCTCTCTGTATACTTTCCTGGAGTTGAATATATATATATATATATATATATATATTAAAAAAAAGACGAAATCTTAGCGGCCTGTCCTCTTTTTGTGGGTCGGATCTTGTACTTGTAGAACTGTCACATCTGAACACTAAGGTGATTCTCTTCTTCCCGATGATCAGTGGTTCAAAAGCAAGAAACTTCGTGATCTGTCTCTTATGAGCTCGATCTGGATTCTGAGTTTTGTCCATTGCTTCGTACAGCAACCATTTGATTTTTGTCCCCAGTGAGAAATATGGTTATAAAATATGTTGTCCTCGCTGTTTTGAGATGGGTAATACTGCAATAGTTTTCTGATCTTGTTATTTCTTGTTTTCTGGGTGTGTGTGCATATATATATATATATATTCTGAATTAGATTCTTCAAGTCAATCAATCAATGGAGGAGACGAGGAAGTTCGTGTGCAAGTTCTGCAACAAGAGATTCCCCAGTGGGAAGTCTCTGGGTGGTCACATTAGAACCCATATGAATCAACATTCAAGCAATAAGGCCATTGCTGATTCTAGAAAGCTCGAAAGCAATGATGTTGATGATGCTGAGAGAAAGAAGAGGAGGAAGAGAGATTTAAGCTCATCAGATTATGGCCTCAGAGAGAATCCCAGAAAAACGAAGAGGTTTGTTCATAATCATCCCTTCTTCACTTTACATCATAAGGAGAAGTTCTGCAGAGAATGTGGGAAAGGATTTTCTTCTTTGAAAGCTCTATGTGGTCACATGGCGTGTCACACTGAAAAAGTAGAGAAGCAGAAATTTGCAACGATGGATGAAGCTCAATCTGATGCTGAAACTTCTGATCCAGATGATTTGAAGAGAACAAGGTTCATGACCCTTAACAATAATAACCCAACTTCTTCTGCGTCGGGGGTTGAACAAGAAGAAGAAGGAGTAGAAGAGGTGGCTACTTGCTTGATATTGTTGTCCAAGGGTTTTTATAGCCACAAAGGTCGTTTTGATTTGGACAAAGAGTCTAATTCTGATAACTATTCTGCAATTTTAGCGGGCAAAGCCAAATCACACTCTGTTGATGCCAGAATTGGTGTAGATGATGCTCAGAATAAGGTTAAGAACTCTGTTTATAATGCTTCTGAGATTGTGAAGGTGGGAAAGGACAAGATGAAGCTGAAGTTTTCAGATTCTGGGTATTCCAGATATGGTTCAAAAAAGGAAGATTCAAATGTTTCGATTCATGGGGTTTTCAGGAATGATGTTTTTAATCGACCAAAAGTGGAAGATGGGTATGGATTTAAGGATTATGATGATGTCTTTGATGAACCGAGGAAGATGATGATCAACAACAGATGCTACAGGAGCAGAAACGATGAGTCCAAAAAACTAGTGTTGGGAAATTCAGACAAATTCGATTATTCATTTAACAGTGCCAAACAAGAGTATCCTGGTAACAATTTGGATGATCAAGTTTCCTACAAGAAGAAGAAGAAAACTAGTTTTCCTAATCATGAAGTCTACAACAAAGACTCATATGACTCAGAATCATCATATGCTAGTGCTGAGAAAAGCACAGACAGTACTGATTCTGATTCTTTTCCTTGTTCTTATCAGAAGCCTAAGAGCAGTAACAAGGCCAAGAAGAAAGTGATGAAGAAGTCAAAGAAAACAAAGGAGCATGAGTGCCCAATCTGCAACAGAACTTTTAGGTCAGGCCAGGCCTTGGGAGGTCACAAAAGGTCCCATTTCGTAGGTGGATTTGAAGAAAACAACAACAGTGGATTAATAGTCCGACAAGAATCTTTGTCTCCTTCTGGTTCTCCTTCTCCTTCTCCTGCTCCTGCTGTTGTTCCTTGCCTGATTGATCTTAATCTACCTGCTCCTCCTGACGAATAGGGTAATTTTTCATCATTTTCGAGTACCTAATAGTGTCTGGACTGAATTCTGAGAATCTTTTGTCATTGTCCAATGATGAAAGTAATTGGAAATGTTCAGAAAGATTAATGGGTAAATCTTTTTCACCTTTCGGTATCTGCTGGTTTTGTTTTTCATTTCCTTTTGCTGCAAATGTTGAGTTTAACATTCACTGAATCTATGATCTATCTCCATAAAGAATTTTTGTCTCTTCATTTTTCCTTTCTACTTGTGGATGCATGCTTTTTTTCTTTTTCTTTCCCAAAAGTGCTTAAATAATACTCTATGTATGTTGGATCAAAGGTTTCAGATCTCACTGGTGGGGAACTTTCTGAGAGGCATAACTATAGAAACAACTATTCTCTTTTGCTCAGTTTTTGCTTCCATTATTTTTAACTTGTATATTTCCCATAAAGCCTTCCCCTTTAAACCCCACTCAAACTTGATGCCTACTTGTCCTTAATTCTCAAAAGAAAAAGGGAACCCCACATGCTTTTATAAGGCACTTCATTGGTTGAAGTAAATCTTAATATGTTTTGAGGATGAGCCAACATTCTATCTTGATAAAACCCAGTGAAGAGTCCAGAGTCGAATAAATCGATAAGATTAAATAGAAAAGAGTGTTACTTTTAAAGTACTTCAGGAAACAATAGAATACTCTAGAGAATGGCCAATTGATAAAATCCCAGTTGGAAAAAGATTGAAGCAGCTAATTGATATCCCTTTTCAAGGCGGCACTCAAATCAAAATGGACGAGTATCTTATTAAACAAATTCTTCTTATATGAGACAATATCAATAGTTGAAATATGTAGAAAAAGTTAAAACAATTTGAGTAACCCAATGTCAACTTCAATATCATCCACGAGATGCAAAAAAAAATAAAAATAAAAAAAATCAAGAATCAGAGTATTACGGTTTGATAAGCATGCATTTGACCTTCTAAACCCTTTTCCAAACACACTCTCAATTACTTGTGACTTACATCCAACTTGAGAATAGAGGTTGAACATAGTGGTTAAACAGATGTTGTTTGGTCCAATTTAGGAACAGTAAGAGAATGCCACTTTATTTCCAACATTAGATTCCAGATTGAGGTCAATCTATATTGTATCCGTGACATGTGCACAGCCTAGGAAGCCTCAAAAGTCTGCGATGAGAAAAGAGGAGGCTGCTGATATTGGTTTGGTTCAGAGACTTATATAGTAAGGAATTTTTTCAGTGCTCTTTGGTAATTGCTGATGTGAGTCATTGGGATTGAAAAGCTGCTGGGAAAGTAAGTGGTTGCGCTAATATTCTTGATGTTGAAGATTTGATCTTTTGGGATAATTAATGGTAACAAACTTTATTTATAACACAGATCAGAATGTTGAATATTGAGGTGGATGAAACTTGTAAGGTTGCCTAACACTTGAGGTAGCAATGTAGTACTAATAATTCTGCTAAGAAAACACTAATCTGCATCAATCATCATAGCCCTTTTTACTTTAACTTAACAGCACCTTTGTAGAATATAACTGTACTTAGTTGTCCAAGTTCTAATAATTTTCCTTCTATTCTGTAACTTACAAATTATCTTGTTCATACTTCATAACCAAATATTTCATTTTAAGAAAATCCGTCTTTTTATTTTTTATTTTTTAAAAAATCATTTCTCCCCTTTCCTCGGCTAACCCTTTGCTTCTTCCATAACAATATTATTTTAATATTATAAGGGACTGTTAAATTATATGATATTACTTCTGTTTTTTATCGACAAACTACCCTCTTTTCTTCTGTTTTTTATTTGTGTTTCTTCTCCACTGGTACTATTGTTAATGACCAGTGAATAATTTCAATTTAGGAGGTGTTTCGCTATTGCCAAAAGGATTTTCTAAAAGCATTTTTTCACAAATTGAGATAAACTCCTTTATATATTTACTTCGTATATCATAAAATCATTTTTAAAGTCATAGTTTGGTTTCTATCCAAACACTTTCTTAGTATCTTTAGCACTGACGTTAAATTTTGAGGACGACCAATTTCATATAAATTTGTATATTTTATAATAATATTAAATGGATGGTCTTAAATTAAACTGCATAATTAATTTAAATTTATATAAATCAGATCAAATTAAAATCTGAAAATAAGAAAATAAAATATATGAAAACAATAATTGTCATCAACTCGAGGAGACTGTTAATGTAGAGGCTACAAATAAACTAAATTAGATATTTGTAATTCAACACTTTTTATTAGACATGTTAAAAATAGTCAAAGCTATTTTTTATATAAAGATTTGTACGGGTATATTGCTACTTTGAATCAGCAAGTTAGTTATCTTAGCCAATTAATAGAAATGATATCTTTGTAAATTTGTGTTAAAATCTTGTTGAGAGGATTGCGGTTGGCTAAGTACTTTAAGTTGGATTAAAACTTAAAAAAATATTTTTAATATTAGAGGCTCAATATCAATCACTTAATTCATTCCAAGTTTGCTGGTCAAATATGGGTTTGAAGAGAGAAAAGTGGCTAAAATTAAGGTAATTGATTGAAGAGTAAACTGTTTAATTTGTTTGCAATAATTAGAATTATCTCATGAAAGCAGTAGTAATTGTCAAAGTTATGCTCTAAAATTTCTGAGAGTATGTCATCTCGTGTTCACATAAGTTGGACAAGTTACTTGTTTCTATTTGACCAATAAATAAATATTTTTAAAACTTCTCAAATTAAGAAATGGGGGAAAATATTTTTGAAGGAAATATTATTCTTCTTCCGAAATCATATTCCTTAGACTTTCGTATGCAATAATAGATGAACCGATCATTTTTAATGGAACCAATCACGGGTATGTTTGGATTGTGGGCGTGAAAAGTGACTTTTATTTTATGTGATTTTTGTAAATATAAGTTAAGATAAAATTCAGTTAATGTAATATGATTTATATTTGGATTGATTTTTATAAAAAAAATTATTTTGACATATTGAAACTTGTTTGGATGATTAATGAAAAAGCAAGTTTAGATATAAAATAACTGAAAATGATATAAATTTTGTTATAATGGCATAATTTTGGGAGAAATATTAAAATAAAAATTATGAAAAAATAGAAAATTTAAGTTATAATGAAATTTTTTTTGAAAACTCAAATTTAGATATAAAGTGACAGGAAATGACATTAATTTTATTAAGTACCTATATTCATATATAAATATATATATATTATATTTGACGAATATATGAGAAATTAAAAGTATAAAAATAAAGAGTTAATTATTTATTATTAGAAAAATTATAAACACTAAAAAATTAGATATATTTAATGTGGTTTTTATATACATGACTATTGAATATGTTTTATTGTTTCTTTGGAAATTTTTAAAAATTAATTGAAAATTAACTATAGTTATCGATTGGGTTTGTAGTCGACTCTCATCATTAAATTTCATTAGTTATTTTTTCCTTCTTAAAGTACTGTTGTAAATATCAAGTTATTGGAGTATTTTCAAAGAAATTTTATCTTTTCTTTTTTTATAGAGCAAGATGGATCTCATTTTTTCTTTGTATCTCTTGTGGATTATTTTCTCGTAGGAATGAGCTTTTTTCTCTAAAGGCGTGTTTGAGATTACGTTTGAACCCTCAAACATGCATCCCAACCGGAGAAGCAAGAGACAGATTCAAAAATGATGTTTGGGCCCATGTTGAGATGTATTTGACTTCTGCCTTTGAATGAACTTATGCAATAAGCTCAATTAATGCTATTTTTTTTCGGTGGAAGGAGTGTTAGAGGAATACCGTTACATATATACACATACATTTGTATGATTTCTAATTTATATATATTTAATTAAATATTTTAGTATTTTTTTTAATTTTCTTCTAATAATAAATTAAAAATTTTAATTATTAATATTTTTATTTTCAATACTTCTTTTAAAATGGTCACATTATATATATAATTTCTTTTTAATAACAAATTAAATTTCTTTATTTTTAATAATTTTATTTTTATTACTTCTTTTAAAATGGTCACATTATATATATCTAATATTAGATATGTACTATTTAATAAAATTTATGTCCTTTTAAGTTATTTTGTATCCAAACTTACTTTTACATTTATTATCCAAACATGTTTCAACTTCTCAAATTAACTTTTTTACAAAACCCAATCCAAACATAAATCATATCATACTATCTGATTTTTACTCAATCTGACTTCTGTAAAAATCAGATTGAAAAAAAGTTATTGATTCCACTGCTAATCCAAACACACCTTCAAAGCAACATAAAATAGCTTCACTATCACTTCACAGTAGAATCAAAAGTTCATTTGCATAAATGCTATACCAAAAAAGTACTTCTCCCTAAATAACCCTACACTGTGCTTCGCGCAATTTACTAAGTGTGTTTTTCACTCCAAATGGAGATCCAAACGCTCTCTTATCTTATATCGTGTTCAACCTCTCCTCTCATTCGCTTGGTTTATTTTTTGGCGGTGACATGAGATCCATTCTCATTAACATCTATAATTTTGTAAATAATGAATCTTAAATAAATCTATAAACTGTAATCATCAATTCCCATTAGGAAAAAAACTTAGAACAAGTTTCTTATATTTATTATGTCAAATTTTCTAATAATACATGTCCATGTGTCCTTTTTTGTTTTATGCGAATTTATAATAAATATTATTAAATACTAATATTTTAAAAATATAACACATGGTTATGTATAATTTGAGAACTATATAATGTATGTAAAGAATTTGATATAAGTATTGTTCTTCTCATTATCATATAAGAGAGTCTAAGGAATATGGTTTCAAAAGAAAAATAATACTTCCGTCAAAGATGTTTTCCTCCCATTTTTCAACTTGAGAAAAATCTGGGAAGAATTCAAAAAATATATATTTAAATTTTAAAATATTTTTATAGTCATTTTTTATTTAAGATTTTAAAATTTTAAAGATATTTTTTTTGAGATTCTCTCAAAAACTTGTGTATGTACTCTATCTTTACAAAAGAAAAATGGTTTTTCTTTTGGTGAAAATCAAGGGCCCAAGCCCAGCCTACACCCACAATATCCTGACCCGCTTCTGTCGAGTCCGCATTACATGTTGAGCCCATATGGCGATATGTGGGAACCAGAGGCTGACTTTTAAACGACGTCGTTCAGGTGTATCCCCAAAAACAGCAAACGACGTCGTCCAGATGAAACAGACCAATCTCACCTGCTAACTGTAAAATGATCATAGCCATTCACTAATAAAATAATAATAATGATCAGGGACTTTGGGTTTGGATTGTCTCTTCGCTTCAGTCTGACCCAGCGCTGTGAAGACGAGATGCGCATGGGCGAAAGGGTAGATATGGAAACGGCGGTGAAACTCCGGTGACTGATGCATGGTGGCCTCAGGTGATTAACGTTTGCATTTGTAGTGTCAACAGAACTCGTTTTCTTGATGAAGCTTTATACAAACATAGCTTGAATTTTCTAATTTGCTTTCCTATCGCATCCTCTTTCGGTAAGGCTCAGTCGTTCTAAATTGAACTGGATCGTTTTTGGGTTTCTATTTCTGGGTAAGAAAATCCAAATGAGTGGGATTATTTGTGGTATTTACCCCTCGTCCTCTGCTATTCTGTTCAGTTGCTGCCTCCTCCCTCCTATTCCCATTAAGCTCAGTATACACTGTAACTAAATAAGGTTACTTCCTATGTCAATGATGCCGTATTTTGGTTTTGCTGGAGTACCTATAGATCATTCCTTATGGTATTGTCCTTGGCTAATAATTATATCAGTTCCAATATCATCGTAAAGAGCTAATTCAACATTAGATCAGAAACTATTCACACGTTGGAAGGAACGCTTAGCATTGTTCACTTTTTCTTGGTCAAGACAGCATTGTTCACTTTATCATAAGATGGTAATGGTTGGGAGTGATTGTAAAATGGCGATTTTGGGGTGTCACAGTGTATGAATTCAACAGTGAAGCCAGGTTTGGCTGCCTCGGTGAAGGACAATACAATAGTGTAAACTTTAAAGGGCGAAGCCACGTTTCCATTAAGTGGGGAATTTGGAGGATGGAGTATGGAAATGGCCTATCATTCTTTCACTAACAAAAACTATGCGTTTAGTTGATGAGCTTCTGGTGCTCATATATCCGCTGAGCGGGTAATTTGGACTCGCCTCCACACCCATACCTCCAGCCACCCCCGGTCCAGACTCCAACCACCCAGAACCTAACCAAAGTACCCTAGATCTGAAAATCTGGTTCTAAGGCAGTTAAAAAACCAGCCCTGTTGTCGCCCCTGTTACCATTCAGGGTGTATTTGATCATACAATCTGATGTTTTTGTCAATTTCAGGAATGTCCTCAAAGTGGAAAGGCGACAGAAGAGGAAATCTCTGGCTTTGCTGGTAAGCAAATAGGGTTTACTTGACAGTGAAAGAAATGTATTCTTTTGGTAGAAATTGCTTGAAACATGGTAGCTGCTCCATTAGAAACTTTTTGAATCATCTATGCTTTGCAAACTCATTTTGGCAACAATTTCATGAATCAGCTTTGCTCAATAGTCCCATTGTACAAAATTCTAGGATTACTGTTTATGAGACTCATAAAGTTGGACCCTTTTCCCAAATCTCTTCTAAAACAACTCCAGCCCTGCATGCGCCCTCTTGCATTGCTTATTATTCAACCAAGCCACCTTCAAGGTCATTTCGAAGAAGAGCTCGTAAGAGACTGTTAAAATCCTTGAAGCCTATTCTAGATCAAGCCCAATTTCAATTGGCCTTGTCCCAACTTTCCCCAAGGTTTACTCCTGAGGAACTCTGTAATGTTATTACTTTTCAAGAAGACCCATTAGTTTGCTTGGAGCTCTTTAATTGGGCATCACAACAATCCAGGTTTCGGCACAACACCACCACTTATCACATAACCATCCAGAAGCTCGGTGCGGCACAAATGTACCAAGAAATGGATGATGTTGTCAATCAAGTGCTTGCAGTTCCATTAATTTGTTCAGAGGCACTTTACAATACTATTATATATTATTTCACAGAAGCTCGAAAGTTGACTCGAGCTGTCAATATATTCAACCACATGAAAAGTAGCAGAAATTCGAATTGCAAGCCTTCTATCAGAACCTATAATATCCTTTTTGCAGCACTGTTGAGCAGAGGAAGCAACTCTTACATAAATCATGCGTATATGGACACTATTAGGTGTCTGTTTAAGCAGATGGTCAATGATGGGGTAGAGCCTGATATATTTACTTTAAATTCCATGATCAAAGGTTATGTGCTTTCTCTCCATGTTAATGATGCGCTGAGGATATTCCATCAGATGGGCGGGGTTTATGCATGCAAGCCTAACTCTTTTACCTATGATTATTTGATACATGGCTTGTGTGCGCAAGGAAGAACGAAGAATGCTAAAGAGATATGCAATGAAATGAAGACCGCAGGCTTAATCCCAAGTAGTAAATCTTATAATTCACTTGTCAATGCTTTGGCACTTGGTGGAGAGACTGAGGAGGCAGTGGAATATGTGTGGGAGATGACTGAAAATCAGAGGTCAGCTGATTTTATTACTTATAGGACTGTACTGGATGAGATATGTAGACAAGGAAGAGTTCAGGAGGCAATGAGGTTATTGCAGGAGTTTCAAGAGAAGAACCTTGTGGATGGGGGTGCTTACAAAAAACTTCTTTATGTGCTGGAAGATGACTATGGGAATTGAGTTAGCAGAGTTGATCCAGGTACTGAGCTGCCTTTCTTTTATTGTTATATTCAGCTTATCCTATGTAAAATTATATTTATTTTCAATGTTCTAAGGATCATTTCATCATATCTTTTTGATAACATGTGTATAGCAGTGCACAAACTACATATATAGCAGATTCCTTTCTATTTGGCACTTCATGTAACTGGATGGTTGGGTGGCATATAATATAACAGTTTTTCTCCTTTATGCCTTATATGATCAATCTCTTGTCAAAATCTGGGGTAATATTAGTTTATGTACTCTATATCACTAGGTTTTAGGTAACAAATTTTCTTTTGTTTTTTTTTTTATAAGAATGGGTAGGTAATAAAGAGTTATATGGGCAGAAGCTGCTGATGACAAGTAGTTCTCCATTTTCCCTAGAGAAGCTACATCGGTGTATTGATTGTTCTTCAGTAATTCAGTATCTTCTTTGACCTCTTAGATACCAAAATAGTTGCATCACACCTCCATGTAACCTCAAATTACTGAAATTAATGATTAGCAATCTTTTTTCAAAAATTTCATTGCTAACAGTTAAGAAGGTTTGGTATTAAAATATGCATCAGTTGGACCTATTTGATTTTTGTGTCTCGTTCATGCGGGAGTATTCCACAACAGCATTATTGCTCATGCAGGGTCTGATTATACCAAAAAAAAAGGATTTCTCATTGCCTGATGCATATTCAAAGCAATATTCCCTTGGTTTATCCCACACCCTGCAAAGTTTATTGATCAAGATTGAATTGAAGGTGATGAAAGCAATTCTCAGAACAAAGTTGATGTAAAGCAAAGTTAAACTGTATAAGATAAGACGGTTCTGGTCTTATATTTTGGACCACATCAGATCAGATATTTTATGATAAGTTGAGAGCCCCATCCTACCATTCACTGGAAAAGTTTCAGTTTTATTCATGGCAGACTGGATATTGCCTTGATGCGAGATCCTTTGGAGGAAGAAAAATTTGGAGAACGGTGATGCAACATGCAAATATGGTACAAGGCGATTAGTATTTTCTGACCCTCCAAAAAGTGGAAGTCTCATTGATCCCAAGGTGCACAATAATATGCTGATTGCTCAAAAAAGGCTGGCTTAAGTTTGCAATTTTGTCCAAGCTGTACAGATCTTTGTCTAATTGTATGCTTTAGTTATCACTTCTTTCCCTCATTTTGCAAGTGATGACCTTTGATTTTTTATCCATCTTTGTTGAAGTGAAAGTTTCACTCTAAAGAAATACTACCTCTAGTCCTTAATATTGGTCTCTAGTCTTTAGTGTTGGTAATTAACATAAAAGCTAATTTGATATTCAATTTGATCCTAAATATAAGACTTCAATTTACTTTGTCTCTTATGTTTATCTATTTTTCTAAAATAGTTTTTGTAGTAGTTACACATGTTAAATGTTCTATCAAATTATGACTTTAGTTAATGCACATGATTAGTAAGGGTATTATAAGGAAAATAGCACCTATTTATTATAAATAATTAACTTAACAAACTTTTTTAATATAGTCAATATAATCAATTAGCTCTTATATTAAGAATCGGAAGTATTATATACATAATATTATTTTGTTGAAGTGAATAATTTTCACTGAAAGCCACATATAGCTGAAGAAATATGTCCATTACATTCCAAATTTAATATAAATACAGGGTAAAATCTGAGCAATACGTTGAACTATGCTAGATTTATTTTTTGTAAAATGATGAATTGATGATTGAATTTGAACTCCAGGGTAAGTGTTTGTTTGGAACCATCACGTTACTCTTGAACCAACCTAAAGAAGGTAATTCATTAGGTATTACTAATGTCCCATCTTGTGTTGTGTTGGAGAACATGACTCAATAACTCCCTAATGAATATAGAAATATCATCATGTTGTGACTTACAAATAATATTACATCTAGTCCTAAACTAGGATTTGAAGTAATATTATTTGTTACACTATAAAATAGATATTATATTTATGACCGCAAGTAGTATTACTAAACCATTGTTTGAAAGAACTTGAATGATGAAAACTTATGTTAGCCTAACTAGTGTCTCTCAAGAAACAAAAAACCGAACTAGATACCAAATTGATTGAGGTAATAATTCAAGGGTCAATTGATCAGATTGGAGTCAACTCATGGTCAAACCGGTCATATTAAAATGATATAATTTAATTGAAAATAACAAAATATAATTTAACAATCACTAATAATAAGATATAAGGAAATATAACAATAGTTTGATTATAACAATAACAAAGTACAACAAAATTGAGAATTTTGATCTCTACGATTCATTAATAACTAAAATTAATAATCATTGATACAAAAATCATCATTAAAATTCATTTCAAATCTACAGTGACTGAATATGAGAAAGAATGAGAAAAAAAAAAAGACTAATAATAACATAATCATTCAAACCAATTCATACCGGTTTACCCCAGTTTAATTGGTTTGATACTAGTTCAACTCCTGCCTGGTTTAATGCACGAACCAAACTGGATTATTGGCCGGTTTTTTAAGTTGAATCGGTCAAATTCAGTCCATATTTTTTTCTTGGTATCTCTTAAAGAGTTCAAAACAACATGATTCGATTCCAAACTCTTTAGACAGAGTAAAAGATGGTCCTGGTTGTTTGGCGGAAAACTCTTTGATCTTTCATCTCTTTCTTATATATCCCAATTTCACTGTGAAGTAACTTATCCTTATAGGAAAGAAAATTAAGTTTGATGCTATCAGTGACAGTTAACACGTCATTTCAAATTCGCTCCTTCAAGCTTTCCAATGAGTGAGACGGGAATATAGGGAATAATGTCATCGGAGGTCACAGTATCATCCTTGGTGAGTCGCTTCAGAAGGTAGACATTTTGTTTTGCTAGCAACAGGTAACAAATCCTCTTAATAAAGACAATCCTGTTTGAACACTAAATGTGGACATACTTCTGAGTGAGAATTCAAATTTTAGTTCGTCGTATTATGAGGAATTAATCCTTTCTGCTAGACCTAACTTTCATTGGCAAGACAGAATTATCCACAATCCATTTAGATCGTGGGCTTGGGCTACGCAGCCGACCCAATAGCTACATTTATTTGGGCTTTAGTGTTTACTTTGGTTCTCACCCTTCTTCCCATCTAGCTGTACAAGAATAAGTAAGACCTCTAAAGTATTTGAATTTGATCCATAATTTACAACTATTTTTCAATTGATTTTTAAAAAAATATTTACAACTGAACGTTCAAGATTTACAAACTATTCTTTTAGACTTTGCGAAATTTTTATAATTCACTAGGCTAATTTCTAAGTGATCTTTCAAGGTTTTATAATTGAGCTTTCAGGGTTTACATCTCAACTTCCGGAATTAGCAATTAAGCGATATTTGCCAATCACATAAGCACATTTTCGACTATTTATTTATTTATTATTTTTAACGTTGCTCCTTCTCCGTAATTTATGATTTTTTGTGGTTGATGCAAATGGAAAGAGAAGAAAAAGATGAGTGGAACATGATGGCATTTGAAAATAATTAATTTTCTTTCTTGTTCCTTACGTGTCATTCTCCTATTTGTTTCTGAAGGGAAAAGCACTCACTCCAGTGCTTAATATAAAACGCATTCGAAAAGTTAGATTTGGTCTTAAATATAATATTTTAATTAATTTTGTTTTCTGTATTTATCATTCTTCCCCTAAGCAATTTATTTAATTTATAAATTGACTTATAATCTAATGTTATACACTGACACTAGGATATTTTGAAGAGATCATGTTATATTTGTTATATTTGACTAATTTACTTCATTCTTTTTATTTATTCAAATTAATTAGGTAGTTTTTATATTGATAATCGGGATAGTATATTGGGCCAAAAAAACAATTTTTTGTACCCCGGAAAGCAATTTTTTATCCATTCAATTTCTTGTGTTGGTTTTGCAACTTGCCAACTTGGCATGATTTGTTTGTCAATATAATAAATTATTTAAGGAAAAAATATCGCCTTGGTTATTTTAAATAGTAGTATTCATTATTATTCTAGCTGTTGGAATTTTTAAATGGTTCAAAAGTATGTGATGGAAAAATAATTTTTAAAATGTGAATGTGTAAGCATATCCTAAATAAACAATTATTTATGGCAACAAACAAAAATAGGCATGATTCACGCTGCAACATTAGCTTGAATTAAATGCAACAATAATAATTGATATTGGTGTTTACAGGGCATGGGAAGTTGTGGGCCATTTGATCGAAGGTGCGGTTATGATCTATTGGACAATATTAGCTTTATAATACCATTTATAAAATACTAGTTAGAGATTGAGTTTGATTTTAAATATAATATTTAAATTTATTTTGTTTCTCATATTTATTTTTTTTAAAATTATTCTTATTGATTACACATGTTAAGAAAATTTTTATTAAGGTATAATTTCACTGTAACTGAGTTAAAATGGTATTTTGAAAAAAAAAAACTAATACATATTTTTAACAAATAACTAATTTAAAGAATTTTCTTAATTTATTTAAATTAGTTAAATAAATCTTATATTAAAAAAGTGGTACATATTTAGATAAGAGGGAATCCCTAGGCGAGTGTGGCAAGGGTGGACAGGAGCGATTAAAAAATTAAAATAAATAAATAAAAAGAGAAGAGAAATTAAATAGAAGAAAAAAGAGCAAGTTGGAGGTTTTGTGATAATGAGATTTGAAAAAGATAGGAGTGAAAAGGGACAATGGTAGTTGCATAATAAAGCGACATCTACAAGTGTTACATTCATATCTTTAGTTGATACATTAAAGTTGCACTATTCTTAATTATGAATATATGAATTTTCCACTGATATTTAACTTTTTCTAAAATGATGAAAAGATATAAATACATAATATTATGCCCCATTTTAAACACATCAATCTCACAAAAATAGAGTTTGTTATACTATTCTAATATCTATTATAAGTCACTCATAACTCATTTTTTACATATCAAAGAAATGCATTAAATTGATGTATTTTTCTAAATTCGCCCTTATTAAACTGATGCAATTTCCTAAGTTGACCCTTATTAAAAAAAAATTTCTTATCAACATTTACAAATCATTTTCACGTCTCTCTTCTTTTCTCTTTTTCTTTTAGGAATTAGATATGACTAAAATTATAAAATAATCATTAATAATCTTGGGACCAAACTTTTTTCCTATAAATAACTCATCGTAAAAACACGAGGAGTATGTGATGTGATTATGAAAAAAGATTGATAAAATTATTTCTAATATTTTTAATAAGTTTTTCAAAAATAATTTCTCATTCAAGGCCAAAAAACTAATTTCTCTGTTTTTTTAGTGTTTCAAAATACTTAATATTAAAAACGACTTTAAAGCCTAATGTGTGTTTGTTTACCTTTGTTCTCTTTGGGCCAATGCAAAGCAACCAATGTGGAGGAGGGTACCGACTTTGAAGCAATTTCGATTTCCGCGCAATTGATTGCGCTCTTCCGTCCCAAAGCAAATCCGCCAAACCAAAGCACCGTTTTTATTTAAAAGACGCTGGGCCCTTTTCTGTTTCCATCGCTTTCACATGTACTCCTTATTTTTATTATAAATTTTAAATAATTAATTCACACATAACAAAAACAATAAATAGATTAGGAATATGTTTTTGTTTTTAAATATACTTTTATAATAAACGAGAAAAAAATGAAAACAATATGATAAGAGAAAAATAATTAAAAATAACATTGAAAAAAACGTATTAAATGTTAAGAAAAATACAAATTAAAGGCTTATAAAATAAACTGCACCTTTTCACAAGTTTGAATATTATAAATAAGACCGGAGAGAATATTATTCTAACTCCCTTTAATTTATTTCACTGCACAAATAAATATATTAAGCAACTTGCATTATTTCCAAATCATCCCACGTAACCATACAGTGAAGCTACGTACAGCTGAGCTGACAAGCGAAAAAGAAGTTGTCCCCATCCCTCTCTGATCTAATATGAAAGTTAATGAGCGATTAAATTTGATAGTTTCGTTTTAAACAAAAGAATATATAAAAGTTGGCGTGTTTAATTTAAGAGAACATGATTTATTATGGATCAGAGGGATGACATGAGAAATCCAAGAGATGAACTACTGTTTTTCAGGATACCCCAGCAGCTTGAAATTGAAGCACAAGTCAATTGTGAACTATATATACAAACCCAACAGTTAAATAAATATATACGAACCATTTGTTGAGTAAAAATGAATTATACAGAAATTAAGCTTCGGGTGGACCAGAAATGAGTTACCTGGTACTAGAGTCCTGCTGGTACTGTATATGGGACTTCCATGCATGAATAGTAATGGTATCTGATAGTGATCTTCTCGAGAGGGAGAGAGAGAGAGAGATCAGAAAAGCTAGGAGCTGCTTAAAAAATGGGTGCCTTCTGTGGCCTACTTGTTCAGAGAATGTAATGTAAGGCATATCCACCCATATTGCTTCTCTCCTTTTTTTGTTTGGCTTTCCTTGTGTACTGGCCTTGCCCTTCTTCAACTGCTGGATCTGAAATGACAAGGATATATATAATTGACCCTTCAAACTGTGTTAAACAAAGAGTGAGAGAGAGAGAGAGAGACTCAGATTAGTGAACAGAATTGATGAGATGAGAGAACAGTGCCATGACAAGGAACCATCAAAATAATATGTGAATGAATGAACAGTGTCAGGTCATCACATGTTTGCACAGAGAGGGAGATATGGGCACAGGCATTTATGGTGCTCGCTGGGTCACCCCGCAAGTTGAGATCAGCATCTCCATATATCAGACTTCTCACCACCCTACCCCAGCTAGGCCATCAGTTATTTAGAATTTTAGATTTGGGTATAATTTTACCCTTGGATTATTACACTGACAGAATCCAGATCTTAGTTTCAATGAAATCAAAAAATGACGTAAAAAAAAAGATAAAAATTACAATATTTTAATATAGGTATATAAGAGTTTAAAATTTTAGAAGAAGTAGTGTCTGATTTGATATTTTAACAAATATAATCAAATGACTAAAATGTTTTCATATCAATTTTTTTTAAACAAAAACAATCAAATTTGTTATTTTCAGTATATTTTTTGTCATTAGTTGTTTAACATTTATTATTATTAGTTCACAACTTATTAATAAATAACTTATTATTACAAGCACATTTCTTATTGTTTGTTATCCAACACTTATTATTGTCAGCTTACAGTTTATTAATAAATTTTTCGATACAAGAATATTTTTATATCATTGTTAGGAAATTCATTCATAAATTTGGTCCATGAATAGTAATATATAATAAACAGACACACCTAACGCCATACGTCTCTTTATTAACCAGAAAAGGGGAGCTATTAATTTAGCACAACCATCAAATCCCTCACTCTTTAAATTTATTTATTTATTTTTTTTTTGGGGTAAAACTCATCATTCTTCTCACATTCCACTGAATATGAGTTTTGCTTTGCGTTCTAGTCAACTCAACAAGAAAAATAGAAGAAACTGGTGGTAATTTGTTCCACAGGACATTGAATACATCTCTTGGGACCCTGTTTATAAAGATATTAAACTAATTACCCAAACTATTCCCAACTCCCATATGCATCACTAAAACTGCAGTTAAATTAGCCTGCATGAAATTATCTCGTACAGATGACTGTACATAACTTCGTCTTCAGAATTCAAAAGGAGTGGTTGTACAAACTGGGTCCTTCTATCAGAGAGGATCCCAATGGAAAAAGAATCAGAGAGAAGAGAAAGAGTGCTAGGGCCTACCCCTACCCTCTCTCTATTTTAAATTAATAATCTCATTTTTTCCCTATTAAATCAGAATCTCATCACAACCAAATTCACAAATTCAGACGCTTTTTTTTTATATATACTTTAGTACGAAAAAATTTTAAAATACCTAATTTAATGTCAACATGTGCTTAAGTTGTTATTCTGCTTTTTCTCCCTCAAATAGGAGAATTATTAGCTTCTTCTATATATAGCAGCATGCCATGCTCCAATTTTGAGAGTGACCCATATAAAGTCACCTAAAAAGAGTACATGTTAGACATATTGACATTGTAAAGGCAGCTAAAGCCCCGCAAAGTTCCTCGATTTGCCCCAAAAAGATAAGTGCATGCTGCGTTAAATTTCCCGTGGAGCCAGGGAGTTTCTCCAATGCTCCCAAAAAGTTTAAACAGTTAAAAACCTAAAGCTATCGCTTTGTAAATCTAAAAATATCTTTCTATATACACATAGCATCTATCAATCTATCAATTAACATAAAAGGGAAAGCAGAAAGAAGAGACTCCATTCAATGAATCCTAAAGAGAACAACAACGGTAAACTAAATAAAGGACACGCAAAGTCCTATACCACAAGGTTTACTTCAAAAGAATTAAGCTTTCTTTTCCGTGAGCAAACAAGCATAACAGATCACCAGGGTTCCACCTAGTAAAACAAGCACTGCAAGGTTTCAGAGGACGAATAACAGTAACCAGCTTTAAAATCAGTCATTAAAGATAAAAAATGGAAAATTATTGTGTGTGTTTGTGTGTCTATATATATATAATTAGAAAGGATGTTTCAACTTTCAAGGTGATGACAAGACAGCATCCATGAGGAAGTGGGTAGTTATCAAGATAAGGGCAGTCCACTGAGTCACTGACACAATCTTTAGTAAGACGACCATCAGAGAAGTTCTTAGCCACAGAGGCAAATGCTTGTCGGCAATCATAACGCATGACCACTCCTTCAGGTCAATCACAAGCATCTTAACTCAAACATATTCCTATTCTGCAAAATTTTTACTTTTATGAGTTATATTCTTTTTCTTTTTTTTTTTTTCATGCAGAGAACTTTACTCAAAGTAATTGAAAATTCGAATTATTTAATCAGTGGTTTGTCAAAAGAAACAAAGAATTCAGCAGCATAAAAAAATCATTTTAGTTAAATACGAAATGCCTAAACCAGATGGCGAAGAAAAAAAAATCACAAGGAGCAAACAAGGAAGTGGTTGACATCTTTCAATATAACTAGTGAGTTGCTACTACAAACAAATTTCATACCTTGATACCCTAAAACGGATAAATTTTTATTTATTCAAATAACTCAAGTAAACACAATACTACTTAATTAACAGCATAAATTACAAGTACATAATTAAAAAGCTCTATATGTATCCATTTCACAGCAGTAAAAGCATAAAAGTAAATTTCATGGCATATGGTTGTAATTATCAATCAGTTAAGAGATCACTTACTAACTAATCAATTTACACCACTACCTTTAATTTATAATAAATAATACCCATTTAGCATTTGATTACCAAAGGCCAATGGAGATTCCATCTAGGCAATAATAGACACTAGAGGATCTAGAAATTGACAACTGTCCTCGTCATTACCAACACATTTTTTTTTTAAATTTATTTATGAAAAGTAACACAGAGACCGCACGCAACTCAGTGCGCAAGTTATTGATTGATCCTCAACAAAAGCTAATTATATTATGTTATTGAGGCCGTTATCATGAGCATCGATCTCTGATACTATATTATTTTTGTTAGTCTATTAGTATTAGAAAGTGTTCAATTTCCTGAGGCAGTTCTCAAATGCTATTGCAAACCCAGATTCCCGCTGCCCACACAGCAGCAAAAAGAACACATATATGAACAACAAACTAGAGTTTTGTGCCCTAGGACTCATTAACTGATCACTCATGTTTAAAAACTCAAAAAATGGCTACCTCTCATTTTCCCTTTTAGTTGGATAAATGTAACAAAATCAAATAAATTCAGTTGATCATAACAAATATATACTAAAAATTCTGGATTTTTTTAAGTTCTTAATCCCTCTAAAAATTTTAAGACAACAAAATTTTTTATTCTCATTCAAAGAAATTATTGAAGCGATAATATATATAAATAAACTTCAAGATCAACATAGCCAAAGTGAAATCTTAAACTAATTTCCCCGAAGAAATTGATTGATGCAGATATAGAATCAAATAAATTCAGTCAAAAGTAGAAGCACGTGTTAGAACATATAATGAATAGGTCCTACCCATTTACGATAGATTAACTTATTTAATTTGTTTTATCTGGTGGGTATGTGTAAAAGGATCGCAGCACTTAGATATAAACTTTTTATCGTTGCTTTACATATTCTAGTGACGTTGCACAAGCAAAGAATTCTCATTGAAAAGAAGTTGATTTAATGATGCGATTTTGAACTATGAAAACATTTGTTTGTAAGAATTATACATATGGTAATTTATTATTTAAAAAACCACATATACGTGTTGATCATGTTCGTGATTGAAAATATTTTATATAAGCTTTTTTTTCATAGAAATATCTCTTCTAATTGATGACAATAATTATGAGTTTACTTAAAAACCCATAAAAATTAACAAGTATCCTACCCCTCCCAGTGGGGGGAAAATCCTTTTTTTTTTTTAAGATTAAGCGCACACACTGTATATATAACTTAAAGATTAAAAGATGATAGATTAATAAATATGAGAAGTTATATATAAATATATATATACCATCATGGATGTTCCTCCTCATCCATTACGCATTCCTGGGGGCACAATGTCTCCGAGAAGTCCTTGATCGGTGGGAGGCTGCCGCGAGGTTGCATCATCCTGTGGACACATTACAGTGCTGGATGATCTTGCAGCTGGTTCATGTTCCTGTGCCTGTTGGCGTCGGTGGTAGTGATGAGGAGGAGGGGCCAGAGAAGAAAGGTTAGTGTCGTCTCTTGATGGTAAATGGATGGGATAATAGAAGTGTGACATGGTCGGAGCAAACTGGCCGGCGGCTGCAAAGGCGGCGGCTTCATGACGGGTCATGATTGATGCTCCGGCTGCTCTAGGGAACCCAACAGTGTGATGACAGTGTTGCCCTTCGTACGTTGTTATCACAATGGTTGGGTCCTCCGAAGAGCGTTCCACCCTTTTCTTCACCGTGCATTTGCTGTTTGTGCAACGATAATAGCTCCTGCATGTGCCAAAAACATATATCTATCTAGCTTCAATCAACCAGCTAGTATTCCATGTATAACAAATCATACTATATTTAGTTCATTCATGATTCGCACATAGGAGGAGGATCATCATATATTGACAGTTGACAGTACAGTACAGTTACAAATGTTAAATTCTCTCGTATGTAATTTCTACAATATTGTTTAGTTTCTTGAAAATTGACGTGTACCACTACTACATTTTAATTCAGTCGGTCTCGTTTAGACCAGTTCTCCTGAGAGTTTAAGTGAGAGACCATTTGAGATCATGTTGAGTAATTAAACATACCTGTAGAAGTTGCCAGAGAGGTGTGAAGAAAGCATTATTATTGTGCAAATTATTATCTATTCCAGCTAAAGTACAGCGAGCTACTGCGCTGGCTATTGCAGAGACTAATCAGTACAAAGATTATAGGTATGGTATATTTGTCCATAGTTGAGAATATGAATAATCAGCAAGAAGTTTCATATTCAAATTAAACGTCTGCTCCATTATATATACATATATAAATAGCACATTAGGATTCTTATCATGATCTGTCATATTCTATTCTCTACCATGATTATTTATCCTCCTCATTCTGCTTTCCGAACATGTAAGATTTCAAATTATATTTGGCATATCAAGGGAAGACTAGAACAGAAGGGTTGAGTAATGAGATAGCCAAGAATTTTGGTTCATTATGAAATTTAACTTTGTATAGAAAATGTAGGTACCCACCTAGGAAATGGACTATTTTTTACGGCCTTTTGGCCATACTTGCGCCATCTGTAGCCATCCTCAAGATGATCAACTTCACTCTTTGTCATAAATGCAAACCGCGGCTGCCGTATTCGCTTCTGCCCCTTCTTTTTACTTTTAATCCTACAAAATATGCCACCTACATTTGTCAAAATAATTATAAAAAAAACACAGTACTGGAAATTCAAACATATATACCAAGAAATTGATCATAAACGATGTATATTCATGTGATAACTTTAGGCAACATCAAATCTGATCTTCTTCGATAACAATGTACAGTAATCCCATAAAATATACTGTAAATAAATTGAAGATAACTCATGCATCGAATGGGATGCTATAAAAGTTATTATAAAGATTCCATATCATTAATATATTATATGTCGGTGAAAGCGATAAGTATCCTTAAATAAATCCGGTGTAGCCGTATATAATGGTCAACCACTTTGATGATAAGATATGGGGGGAAATCAGCTTTCTTTGCACGGGCGAATTTTTAAATTATACCATCATAATCTTAAATTATCAGAGAAATCAACTTTGTATGCACTAATAAAGCAAAAAACGAAACTATGCTGTGCATAAAAGAAACCTACAAAAGACGCCCAACACAATTATCAGCCTCATATCATTCAGAGACAAAAACGATGACGACAAAATGCATATTTTTACCATATATGTACTGTTACTGATACTAATTAAGCCATAGCCAACATGAAATGCAAGTAAGTAAAGAAGAGGCCGTTCGCCTTTAATTAACAACAAACACACGCAAGCATTCTTGAAGTGAAGATGATGAAACTAATACAAATCACATAGCAGACACAATCTGTTAATACTACACACACACTGGGATATCTTCAACTTATTTTGGGCATCAACTAAGACAAACTCTATTTTAAGAGCACACCACATTGTCCTCACATTTAAAACAATTCTCTAGACATTAATTCCACATTAAAACCTAAAAACTTCAGTTCAACTAGAAAATACACATCTTCATCAAGTCACTGGGCAATGCTATACATACGTACTGAGCTATTCTTCATTCAAATCACAGGCCAAAAAAATATGTTCAAATTAAATTGGGGATCAACATGGTAGACTCCATTTAAGCACCGCCACATTATCCTAAATAATAAAGATAACTTTTTAAGATATTAATTTAAAAAAATAAATTTAAATACTTAAAATAGAGGGTAGATGTCTCCAAGCCCCAAGTTAATAAAGGCCAAAAAATGGCCCGTCATTACTACTAATAGAAAATGTGTTGTGTTAGATTTTTCTCTCCCATCATTCCTACTTTTGTGCAAACAATGCCTATTACGTAAAGTAACAAAACTTCTAAAACGGCAGAGTTTTGGGTGGGTTCGAGCACGCCATTCCCGCCGCAATAACGGCGGCGCTGGTGCGCTCACTTTTGACTGACCCGACAACTGGTTCTTCCTCTTCGGACCCCAATATTGTTTTCCCTAAGCGGCTCAACTTTCGGTTTACTCCAACCAAAAGAAAGAAGAAGAATAATAGAAGGAGGAGGAGAAGGAAAAACTGGCAGAGAATACTCCATATTGTATTCCTGTGTGGCCAGATTCTAGATTGTACGGACAGTTGATTGCACTCTCCCCCATGGAAGACAGAGTTAAATAAGCACAAACAAACAAGGCGCAGCTCGATACGATTCTGATTTGATTGCTACATCTCGTTTATTTTAACGCGACTGCGTTTATTTATGCCCCTGAATTTCGACCTAATTACCAATTTCATCACACGAGAGGGAAGAATAAACAACCCACTCACGGTATCTCCGGCGGTTTTTCGTCTGAGACGGTGGACTTCTCGGGCGGATCCTCGCTGGAGCTCGAAGACACCGATTGATTATTGGATGTAGACGCATCGGCAGCCATCGCGTTCGCCTTATCAGCTTGTTCCGTGGAGCCACCCGGAGCAGAGTGATCCGGAAACCACAATCCACCTCCTCTGCTCCCGCCTTCTCCTCCCGCCACTTGAGACGTGTCATCGACACCGATCCGGTGCGGTTGATCCGGTTCGAGATTCCACCCGAAGTCGGTGAGCATCCTGCTGGTACTTCGGTCGCCAGAGAAGAAATAGACATCGTCAGAGTCATCAGGCCCGAGCGCCCAGCTGGAAGAGTCGGCGGTGAACTCAGTCGGAGATATTGCAGGGCGGGATGATGATGCTGCTTTGTCTTTGTCTTCCATACATGGAAGGAATAAAAAAATTAGTAGGAGACAAGTGTGAGTTAATTTGTAATAGTAAGCAAAGCAGAATCGGAATTCCCGGAAAATAAAAGCAGGAAAGGATATTCCGGGAAAACGCGGAGGGGGAAGGTGGGGAGAGAGAGAAAGCGAAAGAAGAGAGAGAAAGTTTTAGGGTTTTTGCTGGTGATCGTTGTGAGAAGGAAGGGACGCGTAGTTTTTGAACTTTATGAAGCGTTTGAAAGCTTTGTCTCGTCATTACACAGTTACATACAGTGCCGGGGGGGGGAGAGAGACAGAAAGAGAGAGGATTTTTTTAAAAAAAAAATTTTAATTGTTTTTATTTGATGTAAGATGAAAATATAAGATTAAAAAAAAAAGAAAGAAAGAGATAAGTTAGAAAAGTGAGCGTCATGCTCTAAATATATAAATAGTGTACGAGAGAGGCTGATATTTGAGCACGGGAAGAACGGGTGGTCCCCACGCGCATCAATGAGTGAGTGAGATATACTTTCCAGCATGTAGCACCACGGTGTTCCGTGAGCCCCCCTTTCCCTCTATATTTGTGCAAAAGTCATCGGAATTCTCTCAGATTTTCGAAACATATGTAGGCAAAAAGTAGTCCTCCTCTTATTCTTAATATAAGACTCATTTAATAAATTTGATTAAATTAAAAAAATTAGATAAGTTAGTTAATTATAAGAAATATGACACATTTTTTCTAAAACACCATAATCATCTTTCTTAATATCTCCTCTCTCTCTTCTACTTGGTTATGGTTGAAGAGTATCCATAGGGATAATTTAAAGAAAATTGATAAATATAAAAAATAGGTCTTATATTTAGAATCAAAACTAACTCAACAATTGGGTCCTATATTAAGGACCGGAGGAGTAGTAATTTTTTTTAAAACCTAAACCTTGTTGGTTGTAGTACTAATAATTATTTCTCTATTATATTAATATTATTATTAGTATTTATAATTTGATCAAATTTTAATTATGATCAACCTAATTTCATCACTCAGAAGTCATATGAGATTTGATTTTAATATAAATTTAATTATGCTCTCACATGGAAATCAATATACTCCTCCGGTCCTTAATATAAGACCCATTTAACTAATTTGATTAGATCAAGGAAGTTAAGTAAGTTAGTTAATTATAAAAAAAGTGACACATTTTTCCTAAAACACCATAATCATCTTTCTTAATACCCCCTCTCATTCTTTTACTTGATTATGGTTGAAGGAGTATTCATAGGGGTAATTTAGAGAAAATTAATAAATATGAGAAAGGGCTCTTATATTTAGGACTAAAACCAACTCAAAAATTGAGTCCTATATTAAGGATCGGAGGAATATATTATTACATTCTATTTTTCCATTTAAATTGTGGATTCACTATACTTTCATAAAATCTAAAATTAAACATATTGTTTTATGGCCAATAAATAGTGCAATCAACTGTGTTTTTTAATAGATTTTTATATTACATGTTAAGCTATATTGATGTTGATGATGGATTTTTTTTCTTTGGGTAAAAATATATTGATATATCGATTTTAGAAATTCTTCAGTTAAAACTCACTAATACTCTTTAGAAGCTTAATAAATTTTTAATTTTATTCATATCAAATTTACGTATTTTAAAAATTAAATATTGTACATCAACGTTTAATAAGGGTTAAAAGGAGAAATTAATAATTAAAAATTATTAGCATGTCTTATAATTATTGATGACCCAAAAACTTTCTTCCAATTCCTTTGGTATTTAAATTTTATCAGTTGACATGTACTATTTCTCCAAACTTGAAGCAGAAAAGTGGAGCCCAGGATGGATTGCAACCAAGTAGCTATAGGGAAAAAGACATAGATATATATATATATATATATATATATATATAAAGACACACAACACACAACACACAACAATCACAAGGTACAGGTAATTAAGATACTTTATTGGCCAAGGCATGGGACAAAGTAATGCAGAGTTAGTTACACAGTTATTGACACAAAATAAAGGATGAATGCTTTTTTTTTTTTGGCCAAATAATAAAAGATGAATATTGGATGAATGCATTATGTAATGTTGGGGTTGATCTACTTCATATTTATACTATTTGGGCTCTCTTCTACTCGGCTAGATCCAACTGTAAAGATTACTTATTAACGGAACTCTCTAAGCTATACTTTTATGAGACCTAGCTAGCTAAATAACAGGCCGTTTGAAACAGCTTATAAGTAGTTTATAAATAGTTTTTAATAGTAATTTACAAAATACGAGATAAATACGTAAAAAAATTTTGTTTCGGCTTGCGTGAAACGTGTTTACATGGAATTTCCATTTAATGATCCCAAACAGACACAATATCAAATGGGTGCAATGATTAATGCTTTCTTTATTAATTAGTAATTAATTGGTTGATATTCTTAATTAAATTAATTAGCAACATATATACCTTGTTGAATGATTATGCAAACTTTGGATTGGATTTGACTTCCTTTGTTGGCTCATTATAGCAACCTTTTTTGATAAAAGCCACTGTAGACTTAATTTGTTCCTTCATTTGATTCTTTTTGCAAATATTTAATTTAAATCGGTTAAAAGTAACAAATTTATTTAAAAAAATGTAATTTATTTCTGAAAACATCCTTGTACATTAAGAGATCGAGAATTAATAAGGTAAGACTCGCCAATAGTTAATGGAAGCAAAACTGGCAAATAATAATGAAAATTTATATTGTCTAAAATATACGATTACTCTTTTAAGCTTACATCAAATCCTAATTTGGTCTTTTGAATTTAAAAAGTGTAATTCCAATCCTTTAGTATTAACACAATTAGTCTTATTTAATAAAAAATGCTGACTCAACAGTGTAACTCTACAATTAAATGCTGACTCAACATGTTCTAAGTTTTAATTCTTTAATATTGTTATTTTTATATTTTAAAACTTCTGCGTTTGAAGAGTTAGATATCGGATGAAATATAAAAAATTTAATCATTTATAAAAAAATGACTGTGTTAAACATTACTCCTTCAGTCCTTAATATAAGACCTAATTCTTAAGTTGATTTTGGTCCTAAATATAAGACCCATTTATCATATTTATCAATTTTCTCTAAAATACCCCTATGGATATTCCCTCAACTATAATCAAATAAAAGAAAGAGAGGGGGTATTAAGAAAGATGATTATGGTGTTTTAGGAAAAATGTATCATTTTTCTTATAATTAACTAACTTACCTAACTTCCTTAATCTAATCAAATAATTAGTTAAATGAGTCTTATATTAAGGATCAGAGGAGTAATTTAAAGCATGTTTTGTTACTTCAATCATAGTTCATAGGTTCACCATTTAAATTTGCTTAATAGACATTTTCCATTAAATAATAGTAACGGCTTTGAGAATAAGGGATTAAAAATACGCTTTTTAAATTTAAAAGGCTAAACTCAAATTTAATGTAAACTTGTAAGATCAAAAGTATATTTTAACCCCATTTTATATAGGCCATTGATGTCTCTTGTAAATAAGAATAAGCTATCCCTAAAAAACTTTTCTTACGTATTGGATCAGGGAAGTACTCTTTTTTTAGGAAGAATTGTAATGAGGTTCTAAGAAAAAGAATAATTACAAATGAATCCTAAAAATTGTCATTTGTTATCTTAAAACTTGTTATTACAGATTGTTTAGGTTATTATTTAGACTTTTTAGTAATTATTTTTGTGAGAACCCCATCATAATTCTCCCTATTTCTTACCAAAATATTTGGAGATATACAACATATTTAGCTTTTAGCTAGACTTGTTATGAGTATTGACTAAAACTTAATCACAATACAATATTAAAAATTAACAACTTCTATCACTGTTAATAATTTTGAATTATAGATTTATAATTTTTCTGTATCCATAGCACAATTGCAAAAAGTATTGACAAAAAGTCAATCGTAACATTACCTTAAAAATTAACGAGGTTCATTATGCTATTAACAAGTTTGAATTCTGAATTAATAACTTTTTTTTTCATAATACAAGTGCAATAAGTATTGACTAATACTTGATCATAATACAACCTTAAAAATTCAAAAGTTTTCTTTTTGTTATTAACAAGTTTAAATTCTAAATTGACAACTTTCTTTTCTGTCAAACATATCCCCGATGAAATATTTTCAATAAATATAGAAAAAAGTTTAAGCACAAAATAGCTTTAAAAATTACCAAGTTTCATTACACAGTTAGCTATTTTCAATTCGCAATTCATAAGTTTCTAATTATTCTGTTGAGTGATAGAAAACCTTTCTCTCGTTTCGTTTCCAATGATAGTGGCATTGAAGTTATGTCATCAAATTTTTAGATCCTCTTTGTATCATATGATCTAATTAAGAATTTCAAAAATTTAGTAACCCAAATAGGGATTTGAGTTACTCAAGTAGCTTTTTAAGAATCTTTCCTAATTATTTATGAGATGCGTATCTTATTTTTATAATCCGATGTCTTTGTTTTGCCATATACAACTCTAATTTTTTTATAAAAAAATAATTTTAAGGTATTTATAGTTTCACCTCATTAAAAATCAGGCTCTTGCAAGTTTTATCATATATTTATACTTTTATCTGATTTTAATCATGTCCCCGTAGTTTTTTCTTTTTATTATATTATTATAGTTTTTCTTATTTTTAATCAAGCCCCTGTAGCTTCAAATGACCGATTAAAAAAACTATACAAACCTCATTAAAAACCAAAAAAAAATTAGGTAATGCAAATTACTTCGTTTTACTAACGTGAAAGGCTGAATGGATGGATTTCATAAGATTTTATTAGTGGATAATAATATGAAATAGAAAATCGAATTATAGTTACAAACCAAAGCAAGTAAGTGGTATGCGTCACCTCAATTTGTATAAACCACAAATCCATTATCTAATCCATATTCTTTATACTACTGCTATAATATAAACTGCATTATTTATAATTTTTTGCCTACAAAATTTAATATTTATAATAGGTGAATATAATGTTATCTTAGTACTAATATAAGAATTAGTTTAAAAACTAAAATTGATTCTAAATATAAAATCTCAATATACTTTGTTCTGTAAATTTATATTTTTTTCTTAAAACGTTTCTATTGATAGTAAATGATTCCCATCAAGGAATAGTTTCAATACATAAGATTGAATACAGTAGTTTAAAAAAATCAATACACATTTATTATAATAACTAACTTAATTAAT